GGGGGATTCGGATGGGAGCAATGCATGTCTTCGTGATTCCGTATTTGGAGTGCGTTGGCGTGCGCTAGCGTTTGGTAATCGATGAGATAGCGCCTATTGGCGTCGACGAGCGTCGATTTAGCGCCGATTCGTTTCGGTTGGCGCCAATTCGCAGGAGCAAGCACGAGGGTATTAGAGGCTCCCATGGGTTGCCGCAGACGGGGAGGCGGAGGAAGGAATAGCCAGACGAGGACGGCGAGGACATTCGATGAGCAAGGTTGGGAGCATGATCGGGAGTGTCAGCGGGAGCGAGGAGCGTTGGGTGGAGGCGAGGCTGATGTGGTGCGTGAGGAGAGAATCAGAATGAAGAGGGCGGGGTGGAGGAGGAAGAGGGGAGAATTCGGAAAGGGAGAAAGAGGGGAGAGACAGAATAATCACTGGCGCTGGCGATCATGGTGATGGAGATGCGAAGCACGCGAATGGGGAGCATGGAGATGGAGACTTGGAGAGGATTGAGCTGCATGATGAGGACGAGTAGCAGCAGTAGGAGGAGGACGAGGAGGATGAGGAGGAGAATCCAAGGATTGAGGAGGAGGGAGTTTGAGAGGGAGTTGGTGGAGGAGGAGGAGGAGGAGGGAGTAAGGTGATGAGGAGGAGAGGGAGGGGATGAGCACGAGGAGGATGGGGGCACGAGTGTTAGCACGAGGGGGAGAGCGAGGAGGACTAGGAGGAGGAGGAAGACGAGGAGGACGAGGAGGAGGAGGAGGAGAAGGAGGAGGAGGAGGAGGAGGAGGAGGAGGAGGAGGACCAGTGTAAACCCACGAGTCACCGACTTGGAGTAAACCCTCCCCCCGAGCTCCCTCTTCATAGGCCTCTACAATGGTTCATTTTCATAGAGGGACCTGCCTCGTTGAAAGCCAACCGTTTGAAGACCCTGAAGCATGCCAACACATTGTTCTGGTGATTCCAACGCCACGGATAAACCTGCTTGTTGCGTCTTGACGATCCTGAGACGTGCCAAAACGCCATTCCCAGTTTTTTCTTCACCGCGTAACATCGTAACTGTTACGCCCTCATCGTGAATCCTACCAACACGCCATGTCCTTTCACGTCGACCATGGGAATCAGTGAAACTCTGGCAATGTTTTACATGGACTGCGCGGCGCTCAGGCGAGAGCCACATTTTGAAAACGACCCGCCCTCCATCTGTGAAAGTGTAGTGTTGTCATGTTCTGATCTTGAGAGGGTGGGGAAGTCTCAGGCGCAATGCCCGGCCCGCCCTAAACACTGGCGTCGGGGTGCGACAGGGAGAAGTTGTTCATAAGGAGAAGGAATGGAGGAGGAGGAGGAGGAGGAGGAGGAGGAGGAGGAGGAGGAGGAGGAGGATGAGGAGGAGGAGGAGGAGGAGGAGGAGGAGGTGAAAGAGGAGGAGGAGGAGGAGGAGGAGGAGGAGGAGGAGGAGGAGGAGGAGGAGGAGGAGGGGAGGAGGAGGAGGAGGAGGAGGAGGGAGGAGGAGAGGAGGAGGAGCGGAGGCGGAGGCGGAGGAGGAGGAGGAGGAGGAGGAGGAGGAGGAGGAGGAGGACAGAAGGTTCAGCAGCAGCAGCATCAGCCGCAGCAGCAACAGCAGGCATGAGGAAAAGGGGATGAGTGGGCGGAGGCGCACGAGTAGTTGAGGAATAATCGGAGGGTGGAGAAGGGAACAGGGAATAGTGAGATGAAAACTACTCGTAGCACTCCTCGTTGTGGCCCCTCTCCTCCTGCTCCTGCTCCATCTCCTCCGTTTCGCGTCCTACTCCTTTGTCCTCTCTTCTTCTCCTCGCTCCTTCTGTTTCTGCTCCTTCGCCAGTGATCCTACTCCTGACTATGCGCCTCCTCCGACTCTGCCCCCCCTCTCCTTCGCAGTCCAGCTCACTCGCACTCCACCTACTCCTCCTGCTCCGCACCCCGAGGAGGAGGAGGATGAGGAGGAGGAGGAGGAGGAGGAGGAGGACGCCGAGGAGGAGGAGGAGGGTAATACGCTGTCGCTGTGTTCGGCGCGGCGCGAGCCGAGTGGCATAACTTGAACGCGAAGCCCACGCACCAGCAGGAGGAGGAGACAGTTTTGCTTGCGTTGGAGGGGCGGGTGGGAGGCAGGAGAAGGGGCCGGGACGACGACGCGTGCCGAGGCGGCACTCCGAATCTCCAGCTCCTTGCGGCACGCCCAAGGCCAGAGACTCTGGGCAGACCGCATCCAATCTTTTTTTTGCTCCTGGAGTGGACTTGAGACTCACGCGTGCTACCGTACTACCGTGAAGAACTGGGCCGTGCTCCTTGGCATCTGCAACAATGAGGGCCGACAAGCTTGAGCTGAGGCGGTGACGGCGATGGTGCAGGCGATTGCGAAGGCGGTCTGCACCGCGATCGATGACAGAACCCCTCGGGTACGCTGACGAAGTGAGGCGATGTGTGCATTGATGATAGTTTGGCGCCGCAGTTGCACATACCTGCCTCATAGAACTCATTGTGTCAGATACAACATGCTGCGAAGTTCGTGCTGACAGGGTGAGCGTCGGCCGTGAATCAGTAACGCGTAGTAATTGAGGAAAGCTCGTTGGACGTCGCGCGCGAAAATAGTCCAGGCACGACCTGGCACCTTACGAACTGCCATTATCAAGTGTGGATGCCTCTTGCGACGTTAATTTTTGTCCTGGAGAGCTCTTCGGATGGCGCTCTGGTCCCAGCGATTCCCAAGGCTTTGGCTCTTGTCCAGTCCCACTCCGCACCAACGCCACTGCGAACGCCGACGCCGAGGCCGAATTCGGCACCGACGCCGATGCCAACACCAATGGCGACACCACTGCGGAAATCAGCGCGAACACGAATGACAATACCAATGTCCACACGCCACTACTTATAAGCCAGCGCCTGCATCGGCAGTATCTTAATCAACACCATGACAACCACCAGCAGTATTCCCAGCATCAGTACGGGCACCATCACCACATCTAGCTCCCAGCACCAGCACACGCCAACGCCAACACCAACACAACCTCCAGCAACGGCATCGACACCAACGCCGATGGCCCAGTCCGACACCGCCGGCCGCATCAGCACCAGCATCAGCGCCGACGTCAATACCACCAATACCCATTTCCGCCACCAGTACAGCCAGTAGCCACCACTGACCACCACTGACCACCACCACCACGCGGCCTCTCCCCCTGGACGACCCTCTACCTCCGCCTCCTGCCTGGCTGCGGCGAGCGGCGTCGTGGTCGGGGCGAGGGAGTGGGCAGCCGATGCCCTCGCCACTCGCCCTGGGGCGTGGGGCAGCGGAGGCAGGCACTGACCCTGCCTTTCGCCCCAGGGGCCAGCTCTTCGGACCTCGGCCCAGGGCGCCTCCGCTGCCGGCTCATCAACCTTCCGCTTGCGCCTGCTCTCCCCCTGGTGCCTCCTCCGTCCTCCGGCGCCTTCGGCTGCCTCTCTACCCATCCCATGGGGCTCGACAGTTTTCGTTTTGTCTTCGTTTCGCAGCAGAGGCAGAGATAAAACGGGTGCACGGGCATGTCGGTGCCCCTGGTTTCCCTTCCCGTACAAGAGGAAACTGGCATCGATACTTCTCTTCTCCTCTCCTCTTCCTCCTTTCCTTCGTTTCCGAGCGCGCACGGACGCCTGCGAAACATCAACGACATTGCGACGAAAGCATTCGAAACACCAGAACAACCAAACAAACCAACACACAAACAAGACACACAAAACAAACGAACACGTTTTCGGTTGATTTTTTGGTGTTTTTTGTATGAAGAATGTTTGCTATCGTTCGGCCTCCACATAATTATTCCTATTGAAACTCTGCACATAAGGATTCCTATCGGAATCATCCACAGCAGGATTCCTATTGAAATGCTCTCGAGAAGGATTCGCGTTGAAATCCTCCACAGACGGATTCCCATCGAAATCCTCGACGCAAGGAGATTACTATTGAGATCCCCCACAGCTCCTCACACTCCTGCTCCTCCCCACCCTACTGTTCCTGCTCCCCTTCATTCTGCCCGCTCCTTTCCGCATCGAGGCGTTACTCACAAATCTAGTTGTGAACGCAGCTCCACGCCTAATTTTGCGAGTAACCTCCCGCTACGAGACAGTACTCACAACACTAATTGTGAACGCGGCTCCTCAACTAGTTGTTTGGGTAATGTGTACTTCCTCACCTCCGTCATGCTCCGCACCCTCTTCTTCCTCACCCTCCTCTTCCTGCTTCTCCTCTTCTGCATTCTGCCCGCTCCTTCGAGGCGTTATTCACAAACCTAGATGTGGGCGCAGCTCCACAACTAGTTTCGTGAGTAACCTCCCGCTACGAGACATTACTCACAAAACTGATTGTGAACGCGGCTCCGCAACTAGTTTTGTGAGTAAGGTGTTCCTCCTCGCCTTCGTCATGCTCCTCACCCTCCTCTTCTTCCTCCTCACCCTCCTCTTCTTCCTCGCCCTCCTCCTCCTGCTCGTCCTCTTCGCCATTCTGCCCGCCTCTCTCCGCATCGATGCGTTACTCACACATATACGTGCGAACGCAGCTCCGCAAATCGTATTACGAGTAACTTCCCACTACGAGCCATGTGTTCCTCCTCACCTTCGTATGCTCCTCACCCTCCTTTTCTTCCTCTTCACCCTCCTCATCCTGCTGCTCGTGTTCCTGTCCATTTTGCCCGCTCCTCTCCACTTCGATGCGTTACGAACGAACCTAGTTGTGAACGCAGCTCCACACATAATTTTACGATTAACCTCCCGCTACGAGACACTACTCACAAACATGATTGCGAAAACGGCTCCACAACTAGTTTTGAGAGTAATGCGTTCCTCCTCACCTTCGTCATGCTCCTCACCCCTCCTCTTCTTCCTCCTCACCCTCCTCTTCCTCCTCACCCGTCTCCTCCTTCTCCTCCTCCTGTTTGTCCTGTCCGCTCCTCTTCGCTTCCAGGCTTTATTCAGAAATTGACTTGCGAACGCAGCTTCACAAACAGTTCTCTGAGTATAGTGTTGCGCCTCACTTTCGTCACGCTCCTCCTCCTTCTCCTCGTTTTCCTCCTCCTCCTTTTCCTCCTCCTGCTCCTTCTCTTGGCCCTTCACCCTGCCCCCTGCCCAAATGATTCCTGTTGAAACCCTGACAAAAAGCAGAATGAGGCGGATGATGAGGATGAGGAGGAACATGAGGCGGACGAGGAGAAGGTTCTGACCGAAAGCCGCCACAGAAGTATTCCTGATGAAATCACGTATTCCTGATGAAATCCTCCACAGTTGGATTCCTTGTGGCACCTTTCACTAGAAGGAGAAATCGGCGGATGAGGAGGGTGAGGACGGACAAATGAGGCGGATGAGGAGGAGGAGGAGGAGGAAGGAGGAAATCCTCCACATAAGGATTCTTATAGACATGCTCGAGAGAAGGATTCGCGTTGAAACCGTTCACAACAAGGAGACTTCGGCGGTTGCAATCCAAACCGATGTTCCCAAATACATTGCAAGCCGAAGGATTGGCACCGACCCGATGGAAAGCAACCGTGGCAGGCGGAGGCTTGGACCGCGCGCACACGATTTTATTAGGCGTCGGCAGTTGTGTCTGGTTGGGGGGCGCCTCGTTCGCTCGCGCTTGCCTTCGCTGAGCTTACGCGGGTGTCAACATAATTCGCGTGCACGCTCTGCACTGATCAGCTGCATGCGCAGACGCAGACATACATCTGCGAGGATGTGCCACGTTTGGAATGGGGCAGTTAAGATGATGAGGTTTTCAAGGAGAGCAGGGGCACCAATATGCCCGCGCGCTCGATAAAGCACAGCGAAGGAGGACAACAACGCCACGAAAACGAAGAGCGCTGTTTATTTCGAGCCCTGCCCCCTCCCTCTCGTCGCTGCCTCCATATGCCCCCCGCCCTCCCGCCCCCAGACCTGCGACGCCTGGGCCTCTCAGCCATCTGACCGCGACGGAGGGCGCCCGAAGACCTGGATCCTCGACGTCCCCTCCTCCTCCGCTCCCTCCCCCTATTCTTCCTGCCCCATCCCGCTCCCCCTCCCCCTGCCCCACATCCTCCTCCTCCGCCCTCCTTCTCCTTCTCCCCCTCCTCCTCTCTCTCTTCCTCCTCCTCTTTCCCCGGGGCTCCCCCCCCCCCTCGCTCCTTTCCTCCTTCCTCCTTCCCGCCCCCCCCCCTCCCCGACATGCGAGGTCCTGTTTTCAGCGCGGGCCCCCTCTGCATTCCCGACCCTTTCCCCGGGGCCCTTTTTCGTCGCGAGCCGTTTCTTCGGCGGTCCCGAGGCCGGGCGAGTGCCCCAGAACAGAAAGCTACCGACCCATGCCATGACTGATTCTTCGCGAGGCGAGCGAGCCTGGGACGTGGGCCCCACGAGGTCTGCTTGCGCAGGACGGATGGTGTTCTTTTTGAGGCGCCATCGGCGGCGAACGGTTGGCGAGAGAGCGTCGGCGCCGCTTGACGTACAGTTTTTGGGGCAAGATGCCTGCGGCAACTGAGGGTGAGGGAGGACAAACGTATGCATGTTGGGTGCGAACCGCGTGCGGGGAGGGTTGATGGGGCCCGTGAAGAAGCGCGCGACTCGCTTGTGCCACCTCGCGGCCAAGCCATCTTCCCCTTTCGACAGCGACGGGCCCAGATGCCGCGCATTTGCTGTATGTCCGTCATTGTATGTGTATTTGTATACGTATTTGTCTATGTGTATGTATGCATGCATGCATGCATGCATGCATGCATGCATGCATGTATGTATGCATGTATGTATGTATGTATGTATGTATGTATGTTTGTATGTATGTATGTTTGTATGTATGTATGTATGTATGCATGCATGCATGCATGCATGCATGTAATGTATGTATGTATGTATACATGTATGTAGTGCATGTATGTATGCATGCATGCATGCATGACTGTACGTACGTACGTACGTATGTATGTATGTATGTATGTATGTATGTATGCATGCATGTATGCATGCATGCATGCATGCATGCATGCATGTATGTATGTATGTATGTATGTATGTATGTATGTATGTATGTATGTATATATACACATATTCATCAATCGGGTATACATCGGATGCGTGTGCGAAACGCAGGACGGACATTATGTCCACAGCATCCGGCATCATATTCGTGCGGAGGGGAATTTGATCGACCGCTTCATAATTCCAAACCAAATTCGGACCCGCTGCCTTTTTCATTGAATCCGCCAATCTGCATTTCATGCGCGCTGGCGCAGGAGCTGAAGACATCAGATCCGGGTCCAAAAGGAAAACATTTTTCGATGTAGGCCACCTCCACGGCGCCGGCTTCTCATGCCAGAGGTCGTTTCCTGACGGCCTCCGGTGCCCGGCAAGGGCCTTCTTTAAGGTTCGCGAGTGGCCGGGGGTTTTGCCGCCGACATTTTTGCCCGCCTTTTTGTTGTAATATTTCTTGCGCCTTCGAGCCTGTCGGAGCTCGCGTCTTGAAAGCGTCGGCGCAAGGGACAAGGTGGGGAGTTCGGAGGCCCCCTTATTTCGGCCACGCGAAAGAGCGACCCCTCGCCCTAGTGATCTCCGTGTGCGGCCCAAAAGGGCCCCCCCAGCAGTGGCTGGCGCGCCTGGCTTTGGCCTCCCCGCATCCCCTTACAGCCGCGCCATACAGTAAGGGGGACAAGCAGTGACATGGCCATAGAAAGTCAGAGAGGTCCGCGCAGATTCTTGGATCGGCGCTGGAGCCCCCGCTTGGGGCGTCGCCGGAGGCGCCGCAGGGGGCTCCAGCGCCGAACCGAGAAATCTTCACGGACCTGAGAGTGTTGATTCTCGCCCCCTTTCAATTACAGGTAACGCCTCTCGGGCCACTCTTGCGTGTAGCCGAGCATTGGCAATGACCACGTTTGGGGCTCTCCTTGCCCTGTCTTTGCCCCCTCCCGATGTCCCTCCGCTCGGTGGCCGCGCCCGCGCGCCAGGCTGGCAGCCCAGATCGTGCCGGCGAGTGGGTGGCCCGGGGGGTCGAGAGTCAGACGAGGAAAAGGTACCGATTCCGCTCCCCTTTCCTCCGTTCTCGTTTTTTGGGGGCCTCCTGGGAGGTCCTGGTCGCCACCGCTGGGTGGTTCGCTTCGAAATCCTGGTCAGAACGCACCTGGGAGAGGACTGGGGAGTAGCAGTATCGGTACCTTCTGTTTCCCCCGAGAGCAACCGTGAGATCTTGGCGTCGCGCTTTTTCCGCAACAGCCGATTCGGCCATGTTTCTGGGCCCCGGGAACCTCACGGATCGATCCAGCCAGAAACATGCAGCAGAACGATAGGGTTCAGGGCTTTGGTCGTTATGTCTTTGCGATGTGGGACTTTTCGCAACCTCGAATCTGATCGGCGCCACCCACACATACTAATTCTAGGTGCGTGTCGCCCCCCATCACCACACACGAAACCACCCCCAAACCCGAAGGCCCCAATTTGCGCTCCGTTTGGGCACCTTCCTTCGGGGTGTGATTCGCCCTCCATTCCCACGGGTGGGGGGGGTCGGAGAACAGCGAAAACAAACCAATGAAGCCCGTACCCCCCCCAACCCGAAGTTTGTGTCTTCGGGTTGGTTTGGGGTGGTCTGGTAGGCAGTCACCCCAAGGGGGCGACGCGCACGCCGAGGCATCTTATTGTCAAAGCTCCGTGGCGGGCGCGTTTACCTCTCGGGAACACGATATGCCACAATTTGCCTGAGCTATACATCCGGTTCGGACGGGGGCCCCCGAGGAGGGCGCATAGTCGGAGTGAGGGGGCCGAACGGTCAGTCATTGTCCCCGGGTGCGTGGCTGAAGTGGAGATCCGTGGTGAGGATTATGCTTGTTGCGTTGTTGTTTTTGTTGCTGTTGTTGTTGTTGTTGTTGTTGAACATTATTACTTCTAAAGAATAATTATTGTTGGGACCCCTGGTGCACGACCCCCCCGCCGCGCCTAGGCCGCAGCCTCATTTTCATCATTTTCGTGAGGAAGTCTCAGGCAAAACGGGTTGGTCCGGATCCGGTTGTGTTGTTACGATCGGTTTTCCCTTGCAAAAAATAAGCTAAAGTGGACATTTCTTGTTCTAACATAACCAAACTTCAAGAATCCCTTGCAAAAAATAAGGTAAAGTGGACATTCGCGCGCGCAAGACGAAATCCTTCCAAAACCTTAGTTTTCGTAGCGATTTTAACATAAAAACATAAAAAAACAATGGTTTTTCAAAAACAAATTGTCAAAATTTCATCCCGCGCGCTCTTGCGGATTCGTAGGAAACCCAACACTTTTTAATCATTTCTGTCAAACGGGCTTTTGCGAGCAACTTTTTCGAACTTCTGCAACAACGGTTGCGCACCTGCCAGGGCCATCATCCCTGTCAAATAATACCATGCGGGACACATTCGTTTTTTCTTCGCGCGCGCACGCCGTCGTCGTCGGCCGCGGGGCCCTGAATAGTAGCCACGGTCGTCCGCATGCCACGAAGTGAAGTGTCCGAACGTCATAGGGCGGGAAGCTGGGTGTGGGTGGTGGCGAAGAGTCGTTTGGAAATGTGGTAGAGCTTGAACCGGCCCCCCCACAAAGTGGGGGTATTGGCGGGCGTCGTATGAAAACCCTGGCACTGGTGAGAACGGAGTGTCCCCACGTGCTAGTAATTGTTGTTGTTGTTGTTGTTGTTGTTGTTGTTGTTGTTAATTTGGTAGAGCTTGAACCGGCCCCCCCCACAAAGTGGGGGTATTGCCCGCCTCCTATGAAAACCCTGGCACTGGTGAGAACGGAGTGTCCCCACGTGCTAGTAATTGTTGTTGTTGTTGTTGTTGTTGTTGTTGTTGTTGTTGTTGTTGTTGAATATTATTACTTCTAAAGAATAATTATTGTTGGGCCCCCTGGTGCACGCCCCCCTCGCCGCGCCTAGGCCGCAGCCACATTTTCATCATTTTCGTGAGGAAGTCTCAGGCAAAACGGGGGAGTCCGGATCCGGTTGTTTTGTTGACGCCCGCTTTCCCTGTCAAAAAACAATATAAAATGACATGTCTTGTTCTAACATAACCAAACTTCAAGAATCCTTTTGGAAAAAATGACACGAAGTGCACACTCGCGCGCGCAAGATGAAATCCTTCCAAAACCTTAGTTTTCGTAGCGATTTTAACATAAAAACATGAAAAACCCAATGGTTTTTTATCAAAAAAAAAATTTCAAAAATTCATCCCGCGCGCTCTTGCGGATTTCTTAGGAAACCCAATACTTTTTCAACATTTCTGTCAAACGGGCTCTTGCGAGCAACTTTTTCACGTGCTTCGAACTTCTGCAACAACGGTTGCGCGCCTGCCAGGGCCATCATCCCTGTCAAATAATACCATATGGGACACATTCGTTTTTTCTTCGCGCGCGCACGCCGAAATCTTCAATTGCAGGGGGAAAAGTCGTATACTAAGCTAGCTTACAGAAAATGTTACCACAACAAGTCATTGTACCCATGCGCCAGTGTAGTAGCCAAGGTCGTCCGCAGGCCACGAAGTGAGGTGTCCGAACGTCATAGGGCGGGAAGCTGGGTGTGGGTGGTGGCGAAGAGTCGTTTGGAAATTTGGTAGAGCTTGAACCGGCCCCCCCACAAAGTGGGGGTATTGCCCGCCTCCTATGAAAACCCTGGCACTGGTGAGAACGGAGTGTCCCCACGTGCTAGTAATTGTTGTT